AGAAGGCACCAATGATCGACAAAAACATAAGATTAACGACGACCATCGTCAAGATTTCAGCGAGTATATTCGTGTTATAGCTAAGTCAGGGAGGAAGTAGAGGTCACATGCTCGCATAGGAATGAAAAAGCCAACAAGAGCTGGATAAGCGTTGACTTCAGTCCGACAACCACACATCTGAGTCTACATTCTTCTACACTATCAAGCATGCTCAAATCCAACCACAACCATGAACCTGCTAACGCGTTGCTTGCGTCAGAAAGGATTACTTGGTAGTAATACCAGCTGTACTGATACCTCAGCGAATCATTTCATAAAATTCACTTTCTAAATTGAGTGGCTGAAATTTCCGACTGCAGAAAATTAAAAATAAATATAAAATAAAAATAAAGACATATTGGAAGAGATTAAAAGGCAATCAACATCGTAAATGTTGTATCCGAAATTGAACGCAACATGTACAAAATTGACCACGGTACACAAAAACGGAACTGATTATAAAATCTACGGAGAGGAACGGGAAAACTATGAAGTTAGTTGCAACATGCACGAAACTGAATGAGAAAACAAAGAAATTGGTTGCAATATGTAGGAAATTGACTGCGACAATTATGATCTGCGGGGAAAAACTGTTAGTACGAGCATGAGGCAGCCAATAATGACAATATGGTACTGGGAAGATGAGTAGGTTGTTATTTGTTCAATCTTTCATTTCAAAGAAAGTTTGCTTCGACCACCGTCAACATTAAATCCTTTCGGTATTTACGATCATAAGGAAAACTTGTAGATTGGAAGACCTCTTTTTTTATCATGACAAATATTTTCCAAATGATTTTTTCGTCTACCTCCACATAGCTCACCAGTTTGGCTATGCACGCTAACGCGCGCAGTATATGTCGATGGCCACTTATCCACGATGGAGTCATTCAGCGGAATGTTGGATAATCAGAATAAGATAGTTCTCTCTAGATTCGAACGCTGAACTGCTGATAGCATCACGCTCGATATATTTGAGCACAGTTATTAGTGGTTCTAGAACGTTTCTAAACAGTGTTACGAAATTTTGATCTAAGCCCCGCCCACTTTGGTGCCAGCCCCGCCCACTTCGAAGATTCGGCCACACTTGCTTCATTACCTCTAACCACTTTTTTCCCGCACTCTAGAACGTTTCTGAACAGAGCTGTGAAATTTTGATCTAAGCCCCGCCCACTTTGGTGCCAATCCCGCCCACTTTCGGGATTTGACCACATTTGTCACATTACCTCTAACCACTTTTTTTCCGCATTCTATAACTTTTCCGAACGAAGTTACACTAATTTTTGAAAAGGGGCTTTCACCTAAACGCACGCCTCGCCCCTCGTAGGCGGGGCTTCGCTATACTTATGCATGCTCAGCACGCATAAGGCCTTGCTCACTCTTTTTATTTTTTCCCTGGCCTCGACGCCTTCGTTAAATCGAGTTATGAATCTCTGTGGAAAGTACCGCCCACTGCGAGAACGCTCCGCTCCCCGCCGGTAAGTTTCCTTTATTTTGATTGCTGACCCATCCCTCACCTATGCACATTTTTTCCCGGTGTCTGGAACATTATGAGACCGAATTAGAAGAATTCGACCATGACCCCGCCCAATTCCGGCGCATGCCCCGCCCCTTGGGGGCGGAGCTCCGCTAGGCTCACATGTTCTCTGTTGCACTTACCCTATGCTCAACCCATTCCAAACTTGACCCGACCTCTCTAGGTGTTTCTTCACGTTATATCGAATTTCCGTACAAACAAACAAACAAACAAACAAACAGACAGACAGACAGAGCGCTTTATATATAGTAAGGATATTTTTTGAAGCATGCTTTAGGAAACTGCAGAGAGCATTGACTTGGAAGCATGGGAAGTAAACCCCTTTCCCGACCGACAGTCCAATGGATGTAGGTGCTATAATCTCAATAGATTGATTTTGGCCATCGCTTCCGAAAAAATCGTTAAACACTGGTCTACACAGCTTAGACTGGTCAGTCTTGCGATATCATTCGTGCGAAGTTCAAAGTACAATTGCTGTGATCACGTTCAAAAGTTCAGTCTAGTTCAGTTCAAAAGACAGTAACTGAAACTATCTTTCTGCAGAAAACGATTGAGATTACAGGTGACCTAACACATTAGTCATTTTGCAGAATTCCGTAATGTTGCAAGGAGAACAGGATGAGTTCTGACGTTGCACAGAACGATTACGAATATTCTGAATTCACAAAATCCGAACAAACCTGTCAAAAGCCTTGACTCTGCCGAGAAGTTTCTTATTGTTTCTACAATTGATGAGGACCTGAAAAAAGAACACTTAAAGTGACCGACATCGTGCATAGATGGTACCTACCTGGGCGTTATTTTTCACAGAGTTATTGAGAATGGACAGAGGCCCAACATTGAACTCTTCCTGCTCCTTTGCCGCCAACTCCTCTTGAGTCATTTCGGCACGAGGTTTCGCCATTCTTAAAAATAAAAAATATGAATTGGGCAACGCTGTTAGCAGCAGTAGAGGCCATTACACGTGGAATCCAAGGGCCAGGAGCACGCCTATCCGGCACAAAAGACCCTGTCAGTTATTGGAATCTTGGCTTGACACTTAAGTTTATGAAAATAATCATAAGTAGAACAGCACTGATCAAACTTGGACGGAATTGCTCCATTTCACTATATTCTGTCTGTACTCACACCTCATTTGTCTTCAGGTACTTTACAGAACCGCTCATTACCACTTTGATTCTATGTACTGTGTAGAAAATGCTCAAAAAGCCTTTGTACCTATCCGTTTCATAAGGTGCCTACGGTAAACTATGAAGGCATTTCAGTGTTTATGGTTGCTTTGGTTCGAAACACTACTATAAACTCACGTAGCCATGATGCCTTCTTCTGTACTATCGTACCACTACCTGCAAATGAAACTAGCGTCAGAAATTGCACTGTAAAAGTCGTAGCTAGAAAGGAAAATCAACAAAAACGATTGTTGTCACGGGAACATCTAGCATTGGAATCAAACGGAAGCAACAGACTGTTGTAGAAAACACAAAATTTCAGTAACATGTCGGTGGCTAGTGATAGATCAGTTTGGGATTGACTTTTAGACGACTGCTGAATTGGATGCGAGTTCGCTCGGCTTTCAGCGTGTTTGTGTCCACGTAAGCTCAACACCAACTTAATGTCAGCTACACACATGGGAAAAAACGTTCCCTCTCCAGTTCGGACGCTTCAAACAGTCAACTAAGTCAACGATCGAACAGACTAGTTTTTCAGTTAGACACCACTACAGGAAGGGGAATATTTTAACAAGGAAAATCTATTATTCCCTGAACTCAACGCAAGAACAGAAGTTTAGTAAAATATTTAACGGAGACTAGTGGAATTTCACACTGATAAGGTCAGAAACATCTAGGAAAGTTTTAAAAGTCCAAAAGAATAGAGAGAAGGTGAAAACCAGCTAGAAGAACCAAACTTTCTAGAAACACAGCGTCTACAGAATAAATGCGCCTTGATGCGCAACACAAAAATTCGAATTTCCTTGCGCGCGTACGCGTCGCGGTTCACATTCACGTACAGGGTCAACGCTTGGTCAATGGAGGCAATCAGGATCGTAGTTGTTTTGTAAAACCACAGGCTATCGTTGGTGCCGGAACTTCTCCTCGAATTCCCACGGCAAACGACAAAAGTCACGCGGTGGCTACCCTATCCTTGCACTGGGAATCCAAACCTTTCCCTTCACGTGCGCAACCCGATGCGGCCAACGCGACGCCATTTTCGGGGAGAAAATACCAGCTATCGTTACTACTTGTAAAAGAACATAGGTGGTGTGAATGATCTGGCGCGGCCTCCGAAGTTAATTGCAATTTAGGCGCATATTCTTCAATGGGGCGCCGCTTGTACAACTCAGTGTCTGCAACTCGTCCGGCATCTGGCCTCTCGATGAGTGGTTATTAGAGTTCTAGCGATGGGCCTTGATTAACTGAAAAGGTTGATGCATAATGATTGCAGATTTTTTTCAGCAAATTTTACTTAAAGAAACGATAGAAATGTCCAGCAAATACATGTGCAAATAATTACTCCGGAACATATCCAAAATCTGCGTCAAGCACTGCTTCCCATCTACTAGGCACTCGAATTCCACACTCCACGTCAGCCATCAAGTCATCGACTTCGGCGGAAGTTCTGTTCGCTAGTCAATTTTTCAACTGACGGTTGATGTCATAATCAATAGGAGTTTCTGTTGGTGAATAGGGCGAAAGTGAAGCAGACTCCATTTCTTATACGGCTTAGGCTGACTGTTCTACCGCCGAGAAGTTCGCTGAGATCACTTTATGGCTGCGCCACCCTCCAACCTTTCTCGAAGTAATAGAGCATGACGTGGCGTGTATGAAGATCACGTTGTAGACATATGTCTGTTAAGGAAACTAAGAAGATTACTTCTACAGGGTGCGCCATAAATATGGTAACAAAGTAATTTGGCTACAGAAACAGCAGTTCATGTTGATACACGGTGAATTCATGTTAACTATTTACTATGCATCGCATCTACAAAACAAACACACGGCTATCTTATATAACCGTTTCCTGTACTAATTATAGTTCAAAGACGCTACGGCTACCTATCGACGGCGGCACGCAGAGTTCCTTGAGAAACTCCAGCCTGGGATCCTTTCAATGATTTCTTAAGTGCAGCAACAGTAGTGCATTTTGAAGCGCAGGCCTTCCTCTCTAGTCAGGGTTATATCCAGCGACCCATCACATTGTGGCCCGGAAATTCGTAGAAGATGGGAAGGCGTGATATGGTCGCGAACATTTCTTCACCACCAGTCTCGATCTTTTCCCATTCATGAGCAAGTGCGCCGTTGTTTTCAAAACGGATCATCAGAAAAAACTTTGACCCTCAGCTGCACCTTTTCAGGAAACCCCTTCTTAAAGAGGTTCGGAGTAGATTTTGTACTTCTCTCGACCGAAGTTCGCGATATCGCTCTGATGGTAGAGACTCTAGCCCAAACTATCATGAAAG